CAACTAATACTAATAGAAAAAAATTAGCCGCATGGTGGTGCATGCTTTAGTCCAGCTATTGGAGACTGAGGCAGGAGGATCACTTGAGCCAGGAGTTTGAGGTTGCTGTGAGCTAGGCTGAGCCACCACTCACTCCAGCCTGGGCAACAAAGTGAAACTCTGTCTCAAAACCAAAAAAAATAGAATAAGTAGTAGAAAGGGAAAAGGAGAAAAAAGAAAATACACCAAAGTAGTAACTGAAGGTGACAGAATTTTCTTTATATATGGTTGACCCTTGAACAATACATGTTTGAAATTTGAGGATCCACTTATATGCAGATTTTTTTCAGCCAAACATGGATCGAAAATATAGTATGCAAGGGTTATGAAACCCAGGTATACAAAGGGCCAACTTTTCATATACTGTAGGTTCTACAGGGCTAACTGTAGGACTTGAGTATGCATCGATTTGGGTGTACCCAGACAGTTCTGGAACCAATCCTCTATATATACACCAAGGAATGACTATACTTCACTGTATTTGTCTGTTGTTTGAGATAGGGTCTCACTCTGTTGCCCAGGCTGGGGTGCAATGGCATAATCATAGGTCACTGCAACCTCAAACTCCTGGGTTCAAGCAATCCTCCTGCCTCAACTTCCAGAATAGCTAGGACTACAGGCATGCATCATCATGCCCAGCTAAATTTTTTTTATTTTTTATAGAGACAAGGGTCTCACTATGTTTCCCAGGCTGGTCTCAAACTCCTGGGCTTAAGTGATCCCCCAACCTTAGCCCCCCAAAGTGTGGGATTACAGGCATGAGCCACTGTGCCCTCGTCTTCACTATATTTTAAAGATTATCTATACTTACAAACATAAAATATTTACTAATAATTCAGAAAAAACAACAATTAGATCTGGGGTTTGAGAGCATAACAAAACAGATATGCAAATTTAATTAAAAGAATCTTAAAACATTTAAAATACAACAACAGGTACACATTTAATTGGGAGACTATAAAGGACCAGGTTAACAACACAAAACTGTGTGCAAACATACCTATTTATTTTACAGAGAACAAGATATCCAGAAAAGGGAGAGAAAAAAACTCTAAAAATCCCTAGGACCAGGTTAACAACACAAAACTGTGTGCAAACATACCTATTTATTTTACAGAGAACAAGATATCCAGAAAAGGGAGAGAAAAAAACCCTAAAAATCCCTAGGAAGGCAGAAAAACCACAGTGTTGGGGAAACAGGAAATTAGAAAACTTCAAGTTTTCTTATAGATAATACAATCAGGCTAAAACCTGTTTAAAATTCTGAAGGCTCGGCTTTTGACCTGCTCTGGGGGACTATAATCCTAAAGATGTTAAAAATCCAAAAAAGACAGTAAGATTTAATACAGTAATAAATTTCTAGACCTACCCCAATTTGTAGGGAGGGAGTAAACTAATATTGAATAGCTAACTACTTGTGACTTTCAGCGGCTCACCCCTGTAATCCTAGCCCTCTGGGAGGCAAAGGCAGGAACATCGCTTATGCTGCTCAAGAGTTTGAGACCAGCCTGAGCAAGAGTGAGACCCTGTCTCTACTTGAAATATAAAAATTAGCTGGGTGTCATGGCATGCACCTGTAGTCCCAGCTACTGGGGAGCTGAGGCCTGAGGATACTTGTGTCTAGGAGTTTGAGGTTGCAGTGAGTTATGATGATACCACTGCACTTTAGCTGGGGTGACAGAGCAAGACCTTGTCCCCACCCCACAAAAAAATTGTTGCTTTCATAAGTTTTTCTTTTCCCCAACCAACAATTATTAGCTATAGGGGGAGTATCTTGTCTTAGCTCTCCAATCAGTAGAACCCAAATTTTAATCCTCACCTAGCATAAGCAGTTAATTCTAGATTCTCTTCCATTATTTTAAGTGGAGACTATTTTGATGGTTTTGATTTCTAATGACCAAAAGGAAGAAAAATCGATAATCCACTCCACTGTCTGGAATTTTAGAAACAGGGTCACACAATTCCATCGCCACAGCCACATTATCAGACTGAAACCAATCAAGCAGAAAGTTGAGGGACACAAGAGCAGAGAAACAAGAGTAATAATAGGCTGCATCTGGTTGTTGCAGCCAATTGAGGAAAGAATGAGAATGTGGTATTGACTTCAGCAACTTGAACTTGGGCAGGTGAGTGGCGAACAGAAGGAAAAGCAAAATACCTGTATCTAAAACTACCTCCAAAATAACTTCTTTCAAAGAGCCTTTCTCGGGCATTTCAGCTGGGGAAACTGAAGAGAAGGAAAGAAGTGAGGGATTGGCATGTGGTTAAGTATCATGTAAGACATTAGTTGGGCAAAATCATACATCTGCTATTTAACAGATGATTCTTTACGTTTCATACAATGGACAACATGTAACTAGAGAGAAACAATGAAGTCCACACATGAAACAACCCATGGGCTGTCAAATTTCCAGAGATTCAGGAAGGAAGTTCTATAAAAATAATAACCTTTTTAAAAGTTAAGTCGTCCTTTCAGCTTAATCATCATCACCACCTCCATATATGGCTATCTTTTCCCAAATTATCAAAAGCAACTAGAACTGATTAAACCTCATGACAGTAAAATCAGATGAGAGGCCAAAGTTCACTGGGACTCCAGTCTTACTGGCACTGGTCTCCCTTGAGTTGGGCTTGTTTTTTTTTTAAAGCCTCTCGAAACCTTAAGTAAACACATCTAACAGCCAGTGAAAACTGACACACCCAGAAACTCTCAGCGAAACATTTACTTCATAGTTCACAACAGACAGTCCCATTCCATCTACAAGGTGGCTTTGCCTGGAGGTAAAGGTCGAAAGAAAACACTCCCAACACCTTCACACTCTATACAGGAAGAACAGAACAGACCCAAGGCTTCAAGTAGAGGGCAGGGGCCAGGTGCAGTGGCTCACGCCTGTAATCCTAGCACTCTGGGAGGCCGAGGTGGGCACATTGCTCCAGGTCAGAAGTTCGAAACCCTCTGTCATTTTCGGTTGTTGAAGGAGAAAAAAAAAAAAAAGAAGTTCGAAACCAGCCTGAGCAAGAGCAAGACCCCGTCTCTACTATAAATATGCAAGAAATTAATTGACCAACTAATATATCTAGAAAAAATTAGCCAGGCATGGTGTCGCATGACTGTAGTCCCAGCTACTCGGGAGGCTGAGGCAGTAGGATGCTTGAGCCCAGGAGTTTGAGGTTGCTGTGAGCTAGGCTGACACCATGGCACTCTAGCCTGGGCAACAGAATGAGACTCTGTCTCAAAAAAAAAAAAAAAAAAAAACTACAGCTAAAGGAGCCTTCAAGATATCAATGTCTTTGTCTCAGCCCCAACCAGCTTCATTCACCCTTAGCCCTTAACCCCACTTCCACAGGCCAAAATGAATCTCCCCTGAATCCAGGGGCAGTATTCTTAACTTTCACCACGAGAAATCTATCTAGTCAAAGGAAACTTGTGATGGCAGTTTCTGCAGTGGCTTCCAACACCATCCTAACAGAGGATTTCTGAGAAACAAAGTCTCACTCCAAACATTACTGCAGGCAGTTTTAGCAACACTCATTTGGGAGGTATTTTGGAGGACAAAGACATTCCGTGCTTTCAGCAAATTACATCATATATGAAGCCAGTACTATTAATATTATACGGAAAATGAGGAAATTTCTCTAATCTCTCTTTGCCTCACTAAAGTATTTCATGGGTAAATGTTATTGCAGAATTAGTCACTGTGATTTGCCATGCTGTTATCTATGTAGAAAGTTTAAAAGGCCTGCCACCTGCTACCATTCCAAAAACACCCTTGCCAATCTCAACTCCAGACAGCATGCTGGGCAACAGTGTTTCCTCCAAAATGATGAGCAGAGGCCAGGCGCGGTGGCTCACGCCTGTAATCCTAGCACTCTGGGAGGCCCAGGTTGGTGATCTATGAACTAAAATTTACGTTCATTGTAAACAGATTTGCTAAGCATGTGTTATGAACAAGATTAGAAGCATGATTTTCTATTTTAAAGCTACTTTTGTTGATAGACTTTTTCAAGCACTTTAGAAATACACCAATGGTTAAGTTAATTTATTGGCCATCCTCATCTGTTTATAATAGTATGGCACAAGCCATAGTTTTTAAAGTGTATAAGCTTTGGAACCAGTTTTCTACAACTCTAAAATGGGCTAATGGTGGTACCTAACTTTAAGCATGTTCTGAGGATCAGGTCAAGTATTGCTTGAGATCAGGAGTTCGAAACCAGCCTGAGCAAGAGCAAGACACCGTCTCTACTATAAATAGAAAGAAATTAATTGGCCAACTAATATACATACAAAAAAATTAGCTGGGCATGGTGGTGCATGCCTGTGGTCCCAGCTACTCTGGAGGCTGAGGCAATAGGATTGCTTGAGCCCAGGAGTTTAAGGTTGCTGTGAGCTAGGCTGATGCCACAGCACTCACTCTAGCCTGGGCAACAAAGCGAGACTCTGTCTCTCTCTTTCTCTATATATAAATACATATATACATACATACATAAAATATAATAATAAAATAAAAAGGGCAATAAAGTCCCTGCCTATTTAAACTATGTTAGAATAAGGAGAAAGAAAAGGCGACCTTAAAAACAAAACAAACAAACAAAACAAAATGATGAGCAGAAAAATCAAAGAGGATAGAGGGAAGGAGCTGGTTTTCTTTGCCAAGGCCAAGTTCTTTTTTGAATGATTTATCTGAGATGCCATTTCTTTTCAGAACCTAGATCCACTCCTTGAAAATGGAAATCTGGTTTTTACCTTGTAGTAAAACAGTTCCCACTTATCCCACCCTCTACTTCTGAGTTCAAACTAAAGCAACAATGTTTGCAACACATACAGACAATATTTTTCCCCCCATGGTCATCCTTTTGGCAGACACAGACAATAATTCTAAGAAGAAAGTTTAACACTAAAAATGTACAGACAGAAACTTGGGACTTTAATAAAAGATTGAAAGTTTTTTTTTAATACTTACCCACTCCTCGACATTAGGGGGCTGCTCATCATAAATGTGTTCCTTGTCCCACAAAATATTGGACTTGTCATACCGGTCCATCTTTCTTCGAGTTTTCACAGCAAAGAAAATTATTAAAGCAAAAGCCACAATAACCAAGAAACCCAGTACGATGGCAATGGCCTAAAAAGAGCATAGAGATATTGACATAATTAGACTTTAGTTGCTTAATCACATTCCACCTTCTACAAATTATTAAAACGCTTATCTACTTAAGGCCCTACTAAATATCTGTCATTTAACTGATATAAAACTGAAACAAACAGATTTTAGACATATCATAAAACCTAATCCACCCCAACTGGGCTAAGGCCAGGAAAACAGATGCACACGTAACATAATACTTGACCTGATCCTCAGAACATGCTTAAAGTTAGGTACCACCATCACCCCATTTTAGAGTTGTAGAAAACTGGTTCCAAAGCTTGTACACTTTAAAAACTATGGCTTGTGCCATACTATTATAAACAGATGAGGATGGCCAATAAATTAACTTAACCATTGGTATATTTCTAAAGTGCTTGAAAAAGTCTATCAACAAAAGTAGCATTAAAATAGAAAATTATGCTTCTAATCTTGTTTATAACAGTATTCTGCTTAGCATGCTTAGCAAATCTGTTTACAATGAATGTAAATTTTAGTTCATAGATATCTTAAACGATGAAGACATGTATCTAACCAAACTATAAATTGGTGCAAATGGACTAATGATTCATTTGGTTTGGCAGATTTATTTGTTTCAGGAGTTTTCTGTACTTACTAGGAAGGGCCCTGTGACAAGGAAACTTCCTACTCTTGACAATTCTCCCAGCATCTGATAGGTATAGTAAGTGGTACGTTGGCCTAGGAGGCACTTGAACTTGAGGCAGGTACCAAGCCTCCACCCTGGATGTCTGCTAATGGGTAAAAGGAAGCTCTCCTTCCTGCTGTCTGACAGTGACATCCCTTTTTGAAAGAATACAGGTTTCAAGTAATCAGAGGACTAAGAGGGATGCAGGGTATGGTACAATAAGCACACAAACTCTCAGTCCCTATTTACCACGGGTGAACGGTCTGAATGGTAACAAGAATTCTGAAAATCTGAATCTCCAGGGAAAACCTTCAGTCTTCAGAAAAATCAGAGACAGTTATTAGAGGTCTAACCTCAAAAAAGTGACTCATTCAGGTAAAAGAATGGGAATTCCTGAGTCAATGTAAGAAGCAAAACAAGGGAAAAAGCCGGGTGGCTCACGCCTGTAATCCTAGCACTCTGGGAGGCTGAGGCGGGCGGATTGCTCAAGGTCAGGAGTTCGAAACCAGCCTGAGCAAGAGCGAGACCCCGTCTCTACTATAAATAGAAAGAAATTAAGTGGCCAACTAATATACATAGAAAAAATTAGCCGGGCATGGTGGCGCATGCCTGTAGTCCCAGCTACTCGGGAGGCTGAGGCAGAAGGATCGCTTGAGCCCAGGAGTTTGAGGTTGCTGTGAGCTAGGCTGATGCCACAGCACTCACTCTAGCCTGGGCAATAAGCGAGGCTCTGTCTCAAAAAAAAAACAAGGGAAAAAAGATTAGTAACTCAGAAATGTTTCAGTTGTTAATATAATTAGGATGACTCATGGTTACTAAAGGTAGGTTTTTTTCTCAACCCCACCCACACATTTGAATCTCCTGCACAGCTTTTAAAAGCACTGACCTTTGTCTAAAAGCTTGGAATGTATGTATGAATTAATGAATACATAAATAAATGAAAACACTGACTTAACACTCCAAAAACTACAAAACACCTTTGGAAGAAGTTAAAGACCTACATAAATTGAGAGACATCCTATGTTCCTGGGTTAGAAGACTTTAATTATAAAGATGACACTACCCCCCAAATTGACTTACAAATTCAACACAACCCTTCAAAGTTCTAACTGGCTTTTTTGCAGAAATGGATAAGCTGATCCTAAAATTCATATGGAAATTCAAGGAACCCAGATTCTAGCCAAAGCAGTTTTGAAGAACAAAGTTGGAGAACTCTCACTCTACTACTTCAAAACTTACTACAACACTACAGTAAACATGATAGTATGATACTAGCATAAGAAAAGAAATATAGATTAATGGAATTGAAAGTTCAGAAATAAATGTTCACATTTATGATCAATTCATTTTTGACAAAGGCATGAAGAAAATTTAATGGAGAAATAGTCCTTTACCAAATAATACTAAGACAATTGCATATCCACATGCAAAAACTTTTGGATCCCTTCCTTACACCATACCCAAAATTAACTCAAAATGTATCATGGACCTAACTGTAAGAGCTAATATTATAAAACTCTTAGAAAACATGGGAGTAAATCTTTGTGACCCTGAATTAGGCAAATCATTCTTAGATATGACACCAAAAGCACAAGCAACAAAAGATTAAATTGGACATCAAAACTAAAACTTTTTGTGCAAAGGACACTATCAAGAAAGCAAAAAGAGAATGAGAAAACAAGAAGAAATATTTGTAAATAATATTTGATGAGGGACTTATATCTAGATATATAAAGAATTCTTACAACTCAATAAGAAAAAAGCCCAATTTAAAAATAGGCTAAGATTCTGAATAACCATTTATCCAAAAATGATAAAGAAATGGCCAATAAGTACATGAAAAGATGCTCAATATCATTAGCTATCAAGGAAATGCAAATCAAAACCACAATGAAAGGCCAGGAGCGGTGGCTCACGCTTGTAATCCTAGCACTCTGGGAGGCTGAAACGGGAGGATCACTCAAGGTGAGGAGTTCGAAACCAGCCTGAGCAAGAGCAAGACCCCAACTCTACTAATAATAGAAAGAAATTAATTGGCCAACTAAAAATATATGCAAAAAATCAGCCAGGCATGGTGG